TTTAGCCAAGACACCAACCCTAGCCAGCAGCAGCAACCAGGGTCATGTCCGGGTACACGTAACCCTTCCTCTACGTAATGCCATCATTCCTGTGAGATTCATCCGACACCACTGAGTCTGACGTTATTCCTCTTAGGAACCTTCACCAGCTCGTTCCAAGCAGTGACTGTGCCCACCCTGTGTGCTGAGTGCTGTCAGAATTCAGATGCAACCACCTACTGCCTACGTATCAGTGAGTAACAGCCCAGCTGGGCTCAGTTTGGGAGCTGGAGCTACACGAAGCCCTAGGCCTGGTACTAACCAGGCCTAGATCACGTGCCTCAGGACTCTCAACTTCCACTTCCTGTAATGACCCAGGCACTGGCTACTGGGCTACAGGGCCCTGGAGAAGAGCTGTCGCTAGGAGCCAATTTTTAAACTCTGCACCTGACTCCAAGGGAAACAGCAGCATCTTTCCCTGCAAAGCTCACACCTGCCCTAAGGGACTGGCCTGCCCACCACGGCTGGTGCCAGGTCTTGCTTGTTTTGTATGAATGCTCTTGCTGCCTCCTCCCCCAGAGAGAGATGTGGGGCAGCCGAAGTGCAGACATGACCTCACGGTGGAAGCTGTTCAATGTGGCTGCATGCCAAGCGATGCAGTGAGCTAAGTTTAGACCGGAGAGGTCCCACACGGAGCTAACCTCAGCAACATTTTTAGCTTATGAATGAGCAAAGGGAGGTATGTTCTCAGCCTAACTCACTGAAGTATGCAAGTGACATCACTAGCATGCCTCTGACACGCAGAGATTGCTCAGAGCTCAGGCATCTCCTCCGGGATTCTCTACGCAGCTTATGTCAGACGCGTGGAACCGTGCCATGGTACCGGCACGTCTCCTCCTAGGCTGTTTGCTCGTGTCTTAGTTCCTGCTAACACGCATCTCCATCAGAGGGCTATTCCCGAGAAATAAGCACCACTCCATTCTACAGCCTCCGAGGGATCTCTGATTGCAGGACCTACGATCAAAAAGCAGCCTGACTGCTGCTAAGTGAGCAACTGATCCCACAGAGAACCTGGTGATCAGGCCTGTGAAGCTTCTGCTGCTCAAACGCTGAGTCTTGGTGCAGCCAGTGCTGCTGCTCTGTACATACCAATGGGTCACAGAGCTCACACCCCCAGTCTCCCCATTGGACATGCACATGGAGACCCCTGTGAAGCGTGCTACAGAGGCTGCATTGTTACCAGGCGCAGGAATCCCCCTTTCAGTGCTTGTGCTGAGCTCTGTCATAGCATTGGACTGCAGAGGTAGGGCTACCACACGGCCAGGAAGATTTTCCTTTCCGGATGAGAAATGAGTTGCTGCAGACAGAGTTGGTGAATCCTCATCTCACTTATCCCTCAGAGGTATTTCTGATGTGCCTCACACTGCAGGGCCTGGGCAGTGCACACTAGCTGGCAAGCCAAAAGGCATGTGGTAAGTCCCATGTACAACATCCACCTGCAGACAGTCAGCTTTGTAGCCACAATCAGCAGCCAGCTTACTCCCTCTCACATTGCTACCCCTGTCCACTTGCTGAAAAATCTGCCTGCTGCGTAGCTACCTCCTTGCACATCTCCTGGCCTTGATGGCTTTGCAACAAGAAAGGAACAGCCCCTTAATTCAAGTGTCAAAACTCCTCCCTCTCAACTGGATCACTCTAACAAATCCTGCTTGAGCTAGGATTGTTATGGGCTTGTTTCACTGGAATTAAGAAAACCATAAGAACACAAGAACATGTCTCTGTTCCCATTTCGAATGAGATTTTGAACCTGTGGCCCTCAAGACACTAAACAGCAATGTTCACGGGGGACCAACTGCTAGGCCAAGCAGCAAGGGGCACTTCCTTCCCAGCTGCCTCTCTCAGAAGCCTGAGGAGCAGCTCCAGAGTGAGTCCTAAGCTCTCTGAGCAGCGGCTGTGCTCTCCCTGGTGTCTGCTACATCTCCCGGTAGGAGGGGAGTAATGTGGTTGTTCCATCACCTGCCTTCCCTGTCAGGTTGGGAATCCCAGGGAGAGGACGGGAGCTGGAGTCTGGGAAAGCCACTAGCCAAGGCAGCTTCTCTCCCCACAGCCCCTGGGCAGCTCGTGAAAAGGCAGGAGACAGTGGAGTGACAGACAGCCAATTGGCTCCAGTTCAGCCCACACAGACTACAGCTGCCTGAGCACTAGGAATGGGACAGCGTAACGGTATGAATGGTTAACCAATGAGAATGAGCTTATCGGTTACCATAACGGTTACACGCAGGCTCTAGCCCCCCTCCTGGGGAGCCAGCTACCGCCCTGCGCTGAGGGCTCTGCGTATAAAGCTTATACTGCAGAGCTTGCCATGTGGCCGGCTCCCTGGGAGCGGGGCCAGCTGTCGGGAGCCACTCCTGGCACACACTGGCTGCCGGCTTCACTTTCGGGGAGCCGGCTGTGCTGAGGACTCTGCAGTAAAAGCATTATACCGCAGAGCCCACAGCATGTAACCGTGGAGATTTTCAGTGGCTACAGTTACCTAATTAACTGCTTAAAAAAGGCCCATTGATCCTCACCTCATCATAATGAAACACAGATGTGAAAATGATTCCAGGCAATTTACAGAATGTGAGCAAATGAGAGGGAGAAGCCAGCAGGACCTCACTGGCAGTCAGCTGTGCAGAATGCCAAGAGACTGTGAAAATGGGGCACGAGGATGAACACATGAACACAATTAACATCGACAAAGACTGGCAGCTAAGGGGAGCCCAATGTGAAGTGCAACGGGATTCAAAGTGGTTAAGGGAATCAGACGTAGCAGGTGATGGCCAAGAACCCTGGGGACAGAGCTCAACAACAGAACACACCCAGGGATCAACAGCACCGTGGTGTCATTCAAGAGACTTATTCACAGCCAGGAAAGGGAGACCAATAGTGGGGTGTAAATAAACGGCCACGCTTGGATCTGTAGCAGCCCAGCAGCTCTGCATTCTGATCCACAGCAGCAAACTTCTTTCCGGGGAACCCACAATCCCTGCTCCACGGGACCCCTGGCCTTCAGGGTCAGGTTTACAGAAAGCTTTCCAAATGGCTCTATGACAAGCTGGCAAAGTCCTGGGTGACTCTTAGTGGTGTGACACTCATCTCAGCAGAGCAATAGCTATGTCCTTAGCCCAGATGAAAATATGGATTGAGATGTTCAGAGCAGTCCAGAGAATCGAAAGTGTCCCTAAACCCCACTGACTGCTTTGAAAATCACAATGGGAGAACGAAGTGATTCTTCAAAAACCGGTACAAAGATGGAGCCATTTCCATTCAGCTGCTTTTGGCAACTATTTGGTGTTCCCCAGAACTGCACTAGCTGGGTGCAATTTGGAAATGTGGCTGTCTAGTGACTCGCAATAATGAAAGATTTTGCTGTGTCTGAATTACGGTCATCTCACAAACCCAGGGTCAGTGCAGATACAAACCCTTTCCTACCGAGTTTCCTTTTCCCCTCACCATGCTGCTTATTCCAGCCTGCAGCTTTTGTGCTGATGGAAGATGCTGGACAGTGAAGTCCTCACTTTGTCCCAGAATAACCATGGCCTGGACAGCTGTTCAGACTCCCCTCTGGATGTACTTTAACTCTCCCCTCTCGGGTCAGAAGGAAACCCGGACTCTGTGGCTTGTTTTGTCCAGGACTCGGGGCCGGGGGGAGGGAGGAGACCCTGATGAGGCCACCAGTGGAGCAGATCACTTTAGGTTTGCAATTGTCATTTTTAGTGTGCGGATGCCTGCTCTGGGGAACTGGACTGAGGCATAACTCAGCTAATGGGTGGGAATCTCTAGTCAACATATCTGTGACGGGCTGTTCTCGGCCCGCACTGAGGAGCCCTAGGGGGGGCAGGGAGAGACGGGGTTCTCCGCCACGGTGCCCGGAGGGGGAGAGCCTGCGCGCTGCAGACGCTGGCCGCGGAGGCTCCCTCCGCGGCTGCAAAGCCGAGCCGCGGCTAACACGCCGCCCAGCGGCCAGGGGTGGGGCAGGATGCAGATGGAGAGTGCGCGCCGATGCTGGGGGGGGCGGCGTGCCGGTAGCGCGTCACCTCCGGCAGGCCATTTAAAAAGGACCCGCTGGCAAGGCAAGGGGGACGCGACCTTGGAGGCCGGCTCCCGAAGGGCTTGGGGCCGGGCGCAGGGAGACGCCGCCCCAGGAAGCCCGGAGCCACAACGAGGACCCCCGGAGGCGAGTGATCGAGGTTCCCCCAACTGCGGGTCATCAACAGACTCGGACCTTCCAGCATTGGACGGACTTCTCCAGCGCTGAACGACCGAGCCACGGCAGGCTACGGGGACCCCATGGGGAGGCCAATGGGGTTAGCGGCGGGGAGGAAGCAGCCCAGGGCGGGGCCCTTTTGGCGTCCGTGGGTGGACGCGTTTCGGGAAGGAATCCCACGTCCGCCGCACAGGGAGCTAGCAGACCCCTGTGCTTAGGGCCCTGGGCTGGGACCCGGTGGAGAGGGTGGGCCTGGGTCCCCCTCCCCTCCCGCCGTTGTCGGGAGCAGCAGACCAACGAGCCGGAGCCTCCGGCAGAGACCGCGGGGAAAAACCCCGCTCAAAGGGACAGGCGACCCCTGGGCTCGCAGATCCCCCAGACTCGGCCGAGCGGGGTGATCGCACCCAAAGACACTATATCAGACTAGACTCCGGAAACAACGGACCGGAGGCCGGCGACGGGGTCCGCCGAACCCCTCTCCCGGGGCAGGAGAGGGACGAGCCGGAGCCTCCGGCAGAGACCGCGGGGAAAAACCCCGCTCAAAGGGACAGGCGACCCCTGGGCTCGCAGATCCCCCAGACTCGGCCGAGCGGGGTGATCGCACCCAAAGACACTATATCAGACTAGACTCCGGAAACAACGGACCGGAGGCCGGCGACGGGGTCCGCCGAACCCCTCTCCCGGGGCAGGAGAGGGTGATCGCACCCCGCCACGGTCACAATATCCCATGGTCATCCCAATCCCCGCAACAAGACTGTCAGATCCCACTTACTGCCATGTATGGTCTGCACCCAGCATCTCTTGTTTTGGCGATGGAGTCCACAAGTTGTCCACTAATGCCAAAGTCACAGAGTTTAATATTCCCATTTCTGTCCAGAAGAATATTGGAAGGTTTGATGTCTGTGAGTGAAAGAAAGAGAAATAAGTCATGACTGGAAATCTCCATGTCAAAAGCCACATGGCTGTGCAATGACAGACACAGACAGGAGAAAATTAGAGCTACAGCTGAATATTCAGTGCCAACTCTGCCTCTTTGCGTTTATGTTCAGTGGTGAGGTCACCACGTATTTCCCAAACATGGGATCTACATTTGCCCTCCCTGTGCCTCCTGCATCCAAGTCAGGCTTCTCCATCTTTGCGAGGCAGATCCCCTGTCACCTGCACCTCTTCCTGCTCTCCCCTCACTCAGTCCCCGCCTCTCCCAATCTCCCCCTGCGCAGCCTGCTCGCCATCACCTTCACGCTGTCTCCCATGCCCTTCCTCTGAGAGAAGCAGTGTCCCTCTCTTCCCAAGTGTCACAGGACCTATTGCTCCTTCACATTGCAGCCCAGAATCATCCCCCCCCCCGCTCCACGCAGTGAGATCCAGCACAGCTCCTGGGATGTTCAGTGAGTTTGGACTCGTCCGGCTGGGTCTCTACTAGCACATAAGCTCCTTAGGGCAGGGTCTGTTTTCTCGTGTGGCAACTACAGCTTGCCCAATGCAGGTACAAACAGCTCTGGCACTTGGAAACTGAAAATATTTGTTGTAACAGATGGATGGTCAGAAGCTATCCTGTTTCAGACAGACACACATATTGTGAAATGCCTCACAGAGTGGGCCTCAGTCAACTAACTACAGCTCACTGTAAATTCCTAGTGGGGAAAAGATGCAGGCCATTTTTACCACAGTAGCCAACAAGGTCCTGCCATGAGGGCAGGGGACTGGACTCGATGACCTCTCGAGGTCCCTTCCAGTTCTAGTGTTCTGTGATTCTATGAGCCCCAGTATCCCCACTTAAAATTCTAGGACAATGGAAGCTAGGCCACGTCTTCACTATAGGGAAGATGGATGCTGCCGCGATCTTCTGGAATTCAATTTAGTGGGTCTAGTAAAGACCTGCCAAATCAAACTCAGAGGCCACCCCCACTGGTGACTGTTACTCCTGCTCCCATCGGCCTCTCACTATGGAGAACGCCTGGAAACTAAAATTAAGGTATGTCAATTCCAGCTATGTAATTAACATAGCTGGAGTTGCACATCTTAATTCAACCTTCCCCTTTAGCATGGGCCCGACTCTAGTAAAATTCCTTGCTAATAAGTATGCCAAAATGTTGAAGTTCTCACACTCTGCTGGTGTCTGATTAAGTCACTTAAATGCGCAGTGTCCGGTAACAACCCTTGTTCAATGCAGTAGAGGCTGAAAGAAGTTATTATTTAAGCAAACAGACAGAAAATTAAAAGTAGTACTTGTTTAACACAAATGTTAGAAATTCTGGGAAACACAACATGAGTGTCCCTCTGTACACTCCCTTCCAAATATTGAAAGTTTGCAATGGCACAATTAAAGTCATTCACTCTGCCTCTATATCACCAGCCTGAGAAACACCAGAAACATGAAACAATTTGATCCAGGTGCGTCTCCTCAGTGACCACAGCCATGAGTCTTTTAGGGAATGCGCAGCCACACCATGTTCCCAGAAGAGACCTACGGCAGGAACTCCCTGTTAGACATACAGAAACAGGCACTCACTGCATGCAGGTGGGAAAGCTTCCACCTTCTGACAGTGGTTCTAATGGCAGACACAGGCATGGCAGATCAGTGTATAGAAACTGCACAACTAAGACTGGGGTACAATGGGAACTTGCTAAACCAGGAAAAACATAGACCAGCATGGGAATGACACATCTCATATGCTACCGGAGGCGTGTTTCTAATGCACAGCTCTGACTCCCAGCCCCCTCGCATGCCAGGAGCACACAGGACAGAGTTTCTGCGTATTTAGAACGTCCGTAGACTACAGCTGTGAACTTCTTCAAGCCCTTCTGAAGCAGAGAAAGGGGCAGTGGGAAATGCTGGTGGCTGAGTCAGTGAATTTTCGCGTGAAAGATGTTCCCAGCAGCAGGCTAGTCATGTCTCTAAAGAAGGCCTATAGCAGGTGGCTGGGCTCCTAGGTCTGCCTTTGCTGACTCCTTAAGACTTCTGGGAAGATGGAGCAAGTCCCCTGGCCACTGCTTGACAGCTGCCTTTAATGCATCCTTCACGTGGTTGCTCTCACTTTCTCCTGAGATCGCCATTCTTGAAGGGTCCTCCCCTCCCAAGAAGCTGGGGCCTTCATTGAGTGCTAGGACCCTGGGAAATGAGGAAAAGGACAGTAGGGGGATGGTCTGCTCCTTTTCCCTTGGGCTGTTGCAGTACTCCATCCTTGGTGCAGATTCTCCCTCCTGTCTGTATCTGCATTGAGTAAATCAGTGACATTGACCATTGGCCTTTGCTGCTCATGTTTTGGCTCCTTGCCCTGCTGAATTAGTGTGTCCCTGGAACAGAGCACAGAGCAGGCAGGACTAGAAAGGGGAATGACCGTAACAGCATCAGCACTTTTCCAGCTCCACTCCAGAGGAGTGCAGGGTTGAAATCATGACAAAAACTGTGGCTAGTCAATCATCCCAGGTGAAGAAAAGTTGAAAACTTCTGATCTAGGCTGACCTCCCATCCCTTTGGAAGAGACATAAAGACAGGGATCTGACCAGAGTCTCGCTGATGCAGACATGGAACACCGGGGTAGTTCCAGAGGCCTGGAAGAAAGCTAATTCAGTGCCAGTGTGAAAGAGGGTAACAGGATGAGCCTGTTAGCCTGGCATGGATCCCGGGCAAGATAATGAAGCAGATGAGATGGCTCAATGAGCAAAGAATTAGATGGCAATATAATTAATGGCAACCAACAGGGGTTTATGGTAAATAGAGCCTGTCAAACAAAACATTTTGTAATAAGATTACAAGTTTGGTTGGTAAAGGTGACATTGTTGATATAATATATCTTCCATTGTTGCTTACGGCATTGGTCCCATGATGTTAGAGACAACAAGCGTCCTCTGTATGCTGGAAAGGTGGTCTCTTTCACCAGCAGAAGCTGGTGATGATAAAACACACTACTTCACCCCCCTTCCCTTTGATGTAAAACACTTAGATTGCAATAAGGACATTTTGATTACAAACAAGAACGATATAGAATTAACAGAGTGCACATTAAATGTATTAAACAAGCAGACTAGTAAGACTGACAATGGAATGGTAAAGAGGGAATAATCAGTTTGACGGTGTTTCTAATAGAGTCCTCCAGGGAATGGTTCTTGGCCCTAGGCTATTTAAGAATGTAAGAAAAGAACAGTTACTTACCTGTAACTGTTGTTCTTCGAGATGTGTTGCTCATGTCCATTCGAAGTAGGTGTGCACGCCGCGTGCACCACGTCTTCCAGAGCGTTTTCCCTAGCGGTACCCGTAGCGCCGGCGGGGCGCCCCCTGGAGTGGTGCCGCCATGGTGGGGCATAAGTACCCCTGCCGGCGCTGCCCCACCTCAGTTCCTTCTTGCCGGATACTCCGACGAAGGGGAGGTAGGGTGGGAGTCGAATGGACATAAGCAACACATCTCGAAGAACAACAGTTACAGGTAAGTAACCGTTCTTTTCTTCGAGTGGTTGCTCATGTCCATTCGAAGTAGGTGACTACCAAGCTAACCCCACAGAGGAGGGGTTGGAGCAGTCATACCACCAGAGTCATGAAGAAAGGTGAACAATAAACGGATTTATTTGAACAATGCAACACTGACAAGGCACCAATTAAGAACAAAGATAACCGGATATAAATTTACATATTTACATCACAGATTCAAGGACTGCAGAGCCCACCTTTGCATCCTCCCTAGCCTGTTCAGGTAGCGCATAGTGTGTTGCAAATGTGTGAAGGGAAGACCAGGTGGCTGCCCTGCAAATTTCTGTGATAGGTACCTGGGCACCAAAGGCTACCGAGGACGCCTGCGCCCTAGTAGTGTGCGCCTTCACCCTGGGTGGGGTTTTCCCAGCCAGTTGATAACACTCTGCTATACATTGCACCACCCATCTTGATAACCTTTGCGTAGAAATAGGTGAACCTTTCCCCCATCCCCAAATGCAACGAACAATTGTTGGGATTTACGGAAGGGCTTGGTTCGGTCAATATAGAATGCCAGCGCTTGCTTGGCGTCTAGGGAGTGTAAAACACGCTCCTTAGGGGAGGCGTGTGGTTTAGGGAAAAACACCGGTAGATAAATCTCCTGAGACAGGTGAAAAGGAGAAACCACCTTCGGGAGGAAGGCCAGATGAGGCCGTAGCCTTACGTTATCATGCGAAAAAACAAGGTAGGGCGGTTCTATAGTCAGCGCCCTTAGCTCTGATACCCTTCTAGCAGATGTAATGGCTACTATGAAAACAACCTTCAATGAAAGGTGCTTCAATGAACACGAAGCCAATGGCTCGAAAGGAGGGGCCATAAGCCTGTGAAGGACCAGGTTGAGGTTCCAGGCAGGGTATCGAGCCCTCACCGAGGGGTACAATTTCTCCAAACCAGTAAGAAACCTTTTAACTACCTGGTTAGAAAAAAGAGAGGCTCCTGCCGGATGCCACATGGACTTTAACAGAAGAGAAGGACAGGCTACTAGAACTGAGTTGAAAGAGATAGTCGAGAATAGTTGGAATAGAGGCCGAAGACGGTTGTACTCCTCTCCGGGACGCCCAAGACGAGAAGCGCCGTCACTTGGCAGCGTACGACCGCCTAGTAGAGGGCTTCCTGCTGCTAAGGAGCACCATCTGTATTTGTCGGGAACATTCCCTTTTTGGTTGGTTCAACCACGGATAAACCAGGCCGTTAGGTGAAGAGACCAGAGATCTGGGTGAACCATTATCCCCCCGTCCCAAGGTTGGGTTAACAGATCCCGAACTGGAAGGAGTGCTGTAGGGTCTTGGGTCAGCACGTCCACCAGGATGGGGAACCAGAACTGTCTGGGCCACCTGGGGGCTATGAGGATGATCGAGGACCTGACAGTTCTCGCTCTGGTCAATACCCTGGAAATTAGTGGAAATGGGGGAAAAGCGTAGAGAACGCCCTT